CTCCAAAGTTGACCAAAAATTTGCCTATCCTAGTTATTTTGAGTAACCCCTGTAGTATTTTATTTTTAAAGGACAATATACAGCAAATAAGGAGCAATAACTTATCCTATATATGTTTTTTGAGCTTTTTAATCAGCCAGTATGTATGTTTACAGTGCCCTGTCCTTGTCATAAAGTGAAAATACCCACAGTTTACGAAGCAATGTTTCTTCTTGTATGGGAATTTTACTTTAATTTAGCGACTACAGCTGCATTTAAAACGTATCATTCCTGAACAGAAAATAAGGAACATCACTTTTGAAATGGAGCATGTGCATGATTTAAAATGTGCCTTATTTCAATATCTACGGAAATTTATCATGCCTATATGCACATTTCTTACGCATCGTAAAGATCATGGTATCAAATTTAATGGAGCGTTGTTTTATTTTGGGGGAACATTAGAAACATATTATGTCGCATCTACCTTTTTGCCAAAAAACTCTTCAATAAGGGAAAAAGAATTACTGCTGAAAACAGAGTGCAAGCAACACTGGACCAAAAAAGTCGAACGTTCGATCCGGAATGTGTGGCTCCTTTGTCAATAAACAGTTGGATTAACTGATCGTGTCCATTTTGAGCTGCATAATCAATAGCAGTCCATTGATTGTTATCCACTGCATTCACGTCAGCATTGTTTGATATCAAGAGTTCTGCAACACTCTTATGACCATTTGATGCTGCGGTATGAAGTGGAGTTACACCGATAGTTGAACAAGTGTTAACAGTGGATCCTTGGTCAATCAACAGTTGGATCAACTGATCGTGTCCATTTTCAGCTGCAAAATGAATAGCAGTCCATTGATCTTTATCCACTGCATTCACGTCAGCATTGTTTGATATCAAGAGTTCTGCAACGTTCTTATGACCATTCCGTGCTGCGCTATGAAGTGGAGTTACACCGGTAATTGAACAAATGTGAATAGTGGATCCTTTATCAATCAACAGTTGGATCAACTGATCGTGTCCGTTATGAGCAGCTAAATTCAAAGGAGTCCATTGATTTTCATCCACTGCATTCACGTCAGCATTGTTTGATATCAAGAGTTCTGCAACGTTCTTATGACCATTGAATGCTGCGTTATGAAGCGGAGTTCTACCGATAATTGAACATATGTTAACAGTGGATCCTCTGTCAATCAACAGTTGGATCAACTGGTCGTGTCCATTTTGAGCTGCATAATCAATAGCAGTCAATTGTTTTTCATCCACTGCATTCACGTCAGCATTGTTTGATATCAAGAGTTCTGCAACGTTCTTATGACCATTCCGTGCTGCGCTATGAAGTGGAGTTACACCGGTAATTGAACAAATGTGAATAGTGGATCCTTTATCAATCAACAGTTGGATCAACTGATCGTGTCCGTTATGAGCAGCTAAATTCAAAGGAGTCCATTGATTTTCATCCACTGCATTCACGTCAGCATTGTTTGATATCAAGAGTTCTGCAACGTTCTTATGACCATTCCATGCTGCGCTATGAAGTGGAGTTAAACCGGTAGTTGAACAACTGTTAACAGTGGATCCTTGGTCAATCAACAGTTGGATCAACTGATCGTGTCCATTTTGAGCTGCAAAATGAATAGCAGTCCATTGATCTTTATCCACTGCATTCACGTCAGCATTGTTTGATATCAAGAGTTCTGCAACGTTCTTATGACCATTCCATGCTGCGCTATGAAGTGGAGTTACACCGGTAATTGAACAAATGTGAATAGTGGATCCTTTATCAATCAACAGTTGGATCAACTGATCGTGTCCAATTTGAGCTGCAAAATGAATAGCAGTCCATTGGTTTTCATCAACTACATTCACGTCAGCATTGTTTGATAACAAGAGTTCTGCAACGTTTTTATGACCATTGAATGCTGCGGTATGAAGTGGAGTTACACCGGTAGTTGAACAAGTGTTAACAGTGGATCCTTGGTCAATCAACAGTTGGATCAACTGATCGTGTCCATTTTGAGCTGCAAAATGAATAGCAGTCCATTGATATTCTTCCACTGCATTCACGTCAGCATTGTTTGATATCAAGATTTCTGCAACGTTTTTATGACCATTGAATGCTGCGGTATGAAGTGGAGTTACACCGGTAGTTGAACAAGTGTTAACAGTGGATCCTTGGTCAATCAACAGTTGGATCAACTGATCGCGTCCATTTTGAGCTGCAAAATGAATAGCAGTCCATTGATATTCTTCCACTGCATTCACGTCAGCATTGTTTGATATCAAGATTTCTGCAACGTTTTTATGACCATTGAATGCTGCGGTATGAAGTGGAGTTACACCGGTAGTTGAACAAGTGTTAACAGTGGATCCTTGGTCAATCAACAGTTGGATCAACTGATAGTGTCCATTTTGAGCTACAAAATGAATAGCAGTCCATTGTTTTTCATTCACTGCATTCACGTCAGCATTGTTTGATATCAAGATTTCTGCAACGTTTTTATGACCATTGAATGCTGCGGTATGAAGTGGAGTTACACCGGTAGTTGAACAACTGTTAACAGTGGATCCTTGGTCAATCAACAGTTGGATCAACTGATCGTGTCCATTTTGAGCTGCAAAATGAATAGCAGTCCATTGATCTTTATCCACTGCATTCACGTCAGCATTGTTTGATATCAAGAGTTCTGCAACGTTCTTATGACCATTCCATGCTGCGCTATGAAGTGGAGTTACACCGGTAGTTGAACAAGTGTTAAAAGTGGATCCTCTGTTAATCAACAGTTGGATCAACTGATTGTGTCCATTTTCAGCTGCATAATGAATAGCAGTCCTTTGTTCTTCATCAACTGCATTCACGTCAGCATTGTTTGATATCAAGAGTTCTGCAACGTTCTTATGACCATTTGATGCTGTGGTATGAAGTGGAGTTTCACCGGTAGTTGAACAAGTGTTAACAGTGGATCCTCTGTCAATCAACAGTTGGATCAACTGATCGTGTCCATTTTCAGCTGCATAATGAATAGCAGTCCATTGATCTTCATCCACTGCATTCACGTCAGCATTGTTTGATATCAAGAGTTCTGCAACGTTCTTATGACCATTTGATGCTGCGGTATGAAGTGGAGTTACACCGGTAGTTGAACAAGTGTTAACAGTGGATCCTTGGTCAATCAACAGTTGGATCAACTGATCGTGTCCATTTTGAGCTGCAAAATGAATAGCAGTCCATTGATCTTCTTCCACTGCATTCACGTCAGCATTGTTTGATATCAAGATTTCTGCAACGTTTTTATGACCATTGAATGCTGCGGTATGAAGTGGAGTTCTACCGCTAGTTGAACAAGTGTTAACAGTGGATCCTTGGTCAATCAACAGTTGGATCAACTGATCGTGTCCATTTTGAGCTGCAAAATGAATAGCAGTCCATTGATCTTCTTCCACTGCATTCACGTCAGCATTGTTTGATATCAAGAGTTCTGCAACGTTCTTATGACCATTTGATGCTGCGCTATGAAGTGGAGTATAACCGGTAGTTGAACAAGTGTTAACAGTGGATCCTTGGTCAATCAACAGTTGGATCAACTGATCGTGTCCATTTAGAGAAGCTAAAATCAAAGGAGTCCATTGATTTTCATCCACTGCATTCACGTCAGCATTCTTTGATATCAGGAGTTCTGCAACGTTCTTATGACCATTGAATGCTGCACTATGAAGTGGAGTTAAACCGGTAATTGAACAAATGTTTACAGTGGATCCTCTGTCAATCAACAGTTGGATCAACTGGTGGTGTCCATTTAGAGCTGCATAATGAATAGCAGTCCATTGATCTTTATCCAGTGCATTCACGTCAGCATTGTTTGATATCAAGAGTTCTGCAACGTTCTTATGACCATTTCTTGCTGCGCTATGAAGTGGAGCATAACCGGTAGTTGAGCAAGTGTTAACAGTGGATCCTTTGTCAATCAACACTTGGATCAACTGATCGTGTCCATTTAGAGAAGCTAAATTCAAAGGAGTCCATTGATCTTCTTCCACTGCATTCACGTCAGCATTGTTTGATATCAAGAGTTCTGCAACGTTCTTATGACCATTTGATGCTGCGTTATGAAGCGGAGTTCTACCGGTAATTGAACAAATGTTAACAGTGGATCCTCTGTCAATCAACAGTTGGATCAACTGATCATGTCCATTTTGAGCTGCATAATGAATAGCTGTCCATTGATTTTTACCCACTGCATTCACGTCAGCATTGTTTGATATCAAGAGTTCTGCAACGTTCTTATGACCATTTGATGCTGCGATATGAAGTGGAGTTACACCGGTACTTGAACAAGTGTTAACAGTGGATCCTTTGTCAATCAACAGTTTGATCAACTGGTCGTGTCCATTTTGAGCTGCATAATAAAGAGCAGTCTTTTGTTCTTTATCCACTGAGTTCACGTCAGCTTTATTTTTTAATAATAATTCACATGTTTCAACAAACCCACGTTTCGCAGAAACCAGTATCATATCCGTTAGGTTGCTTGTTGAGAATGATTTAAAATGTCGTTCTAAAGAGGAAATAATACTCAAACAGTCACACTCACATGCCCACAGTGCAATCTTCCAGCTTTTTTCACACAGATTATTTAAGATCTTGATATATGCCTGGTTTCCTTCCATCTTGGTCATAGACAATCTTCGAACAACAATATATCTAGACAAAATGCGTATGACAATTTCTCCTGACAATGTAAAAATGTTGTCGCATAGATATTTTGCCACAAAGTATTCACTGTAAGACCGATGGCAAAAATCAACCTTCTGCTGGACTACATGAACCAGTTGTGATGAATCTGATTCCTGTTCGCATCGGTTTTTAAATTGATCGTGTATGTCTCTATAATATTGATTTTTAAACAATTCCCTTCGTACTTCAATGTTTAGCAGCTCCATAGCTAATAACTGATGCTTCAAAATAAAATCACCCATCAACCAATCCAATTCAGCGTCGCTCAGATCAAATTTGGGCTTAAATTTTTCCATAAATTTCTTGTGAAAACATCTTCTTATAAACTGTTCGTAAAGCTGTGCAATATTCATTTTTTCTTTAGTCAGATCAATGAGCTGATTTGTATTCTGTTTAATCAATGAATGGTAATTTCTAAATTTTTCTAAATAAACCTCCGCCAGCATTTTTACCATGAGTGGCGCACCACAAATTTCGCCTAAATTTGAAGGGATATTTGATTTAAATGTGTTTAAAATATGTTTCGAGTAGCTTTCAAAGCAACGTTCATCTAGATCTGGTTCGTGCCACATCTTTCTGAAATAGTTGATTTGGTCTTCCACAATGAACGGCTCCAGAAACATAGATCTTACATTAAATTTACTCTCTAATAATACTTGCATGTGTTTTCTGGCGCTGATGATGATTCGAATGCTCTTTTTCAACTTGAGTTGTTCCAGCATCTCAATCACCTTGTCAGTGTACTTGGAGTGGATCTCGTCGAAGCCATCCATCAATATAAGAATAGAATAGCCTCTGTCATCCCTTTCATGTGGGGAATTTTCAATGAGATCGCAATTTCGCTCTGAAAGGATCACTTTGAGCACATTAAGCACCTTCAACTCTGAAATGTGTTTTACTTTTTCGAGCTCCATCACCAACTCGCTTAAATACACTAACAGTACATTAACGACATTTTGCTTCTGCACTTCAAAGGCTACAAACTGAAGCAAGCTAGTCTTCCCCATTCCGGGGTCTGCCAGGAGTACGATGATCTGATGGTCTTCAAATGTTTCCCCAAGCTCTTCAACAAACTGAGTGTCACTCATCTGTCGTGAAAGTTCTTCAATGTTGTCTTCCATACCTGGTTGGTTGTCTTTATTAAGGAGATTTTCAGCCAGACGCTGGTTCATCTCGGCCTCTTCCATACCTGTTTTCTCAACTTCAATGACATTTTCGTCATTGGTCGGTTTACTATATTTGTATATAATACGGCGATTGATGTAATATTTTTGCAATTGTTTTGCTTCCTTACCTTCAAGTTTATCGTTATCATTCTGAATTTCACTAAGACAGTTTAGTACATCACTTTTTTTCAACATTGACTTCATTTTATTCTTTTTAGGTTTATTGAGTTGGTCAAATTTTAATATCAGATCTCTAAATATCAGATCGATTTCTCTCAATTTTCTGAGAATTTCTGGACAGATCCACGATTTACACCACGTCCACAGCTCGCTTTCAATAATTGGATACAAATCATTTGGTTGACTCACCAATAGTGAAAAGTTGTTGAAGAATGCCACAATTTCCTCCTCACTAAAATAACGTGGCAAATGTTTCACCCTTGAGTTTCTTAGTAAAAAGTTATTCACTGTTATTGTCTTCTTCATATCAAGCTTATCTTTTTCCAGAACTTTAAACAACTTGGCAACATTGAATTGTTCGCTTTCCGAGTTGAAGCTATCTAAAAAACTGCATTGCTTCTTTTTTATTGTTAAAACGTCTTTCAGAGGAGTACTATAGGTTTCTAAAATGTTACTGACGGTTCCATTGTTGAAAAGCTCTTTGATTGCCTTTTTAAGGTTTTCGAAATCTTTGTTGATAAAATTGCTCAACTCCTTAATAGCTTTTTCGGTTGGATCCAGTTTCAGGTGTCGGGCCTTGGATCCAGGAAATCGTAGGATTTCATCTACTTCTACCTCAACAGTCCTCACCCAATCAACATCGGAGATGTTTAAATCCTTATTAGTAAATATATAGAACTGCTTTTTGTATTGGTCTTTCTTAAAGTTTTCAACAACTTTCAAATAGGATTCCAGGTACTTGTAAATACTGAAGTCTCCGTTGTGTTGATCTTTTTCCTCGGTCGGAAATAGTGCATTTAAATCGATAACATTTACCTTGCCATCTTTGGTAACGGCGTGCTTTACCTGGATGAAGTGTAAAACCTCACGTTCATCGTCAATGATCACTACGTCATCATACTTGTCGGCTTGTGACATTTCATATGCCAATCTGACATTGAAACTGTCTCTCCGCATCCGTAGAAAAAAGGTGACTGCAACTTGTTTTTGATATACTTCGCCATGGTAGCCTGATTGGATTTTTCTTTCATATGTTCCGTCTTGTAATAGGTTCGGCATTTTTAATTGTTTTTCATCCGCTGCATTCACGCCAGCTTTATTCTTTGATAATAATTCATATATTTCAACAAACCCACTTTCCTTAGCAACCAGTATCATATCCGTTAGGTTGCTTGTTGAGAATGATTTAAAATGTCCTTCTAAAGAGGAAATGATACTCAAACAGTCACACTCACATGCCCACAGTGCAATCTTCCAGTTTTTTTTACACAGATTATTTAAGATATTGAGATATGCCTGGTTTCCTTCCATCTTGGTCATAGACAATCTTCGAACAACAGTATATCTAGACCAAATGCGTCTGACAATTTTTCCTGACAACGTAAAAATGTTGTCGCATAGATATTTTGCCACAAAGTATTCACTGTAAGACCGATGGCAAAAATCAACCTTCTGCTGGACTACATGAACCAGTTGTGATGAATCTGATTCCTGTTCGCATCGTTTTTTAAATTGATCGTGTATTACTTTATAATATTGATTTTTTAATAAGTCCATACGTACTTCAATATTTAGCAGTTCCATAGCTAACAACTGATGCTTCAAAATAAAATCACCCATCAACCAATCCAATGCAGCGTCGCTCAAAGCAAATTTGGGCTTAAATTTTTCCATAAATTTCTTGTGAAAACATCTTCTTATAAACTGTTCGTATAGCTGTGCAATATTCATTTTTTCTTTAGTCAGATCAACGAGCTGATTGGTATTCTGTTTCTTCAATGAATGGTAATTTCTAAATTTTTCTAAATAAACCTCCGCCAGCATTTTTACCATGAGTGGCGCACCACAAATTTCGCCTAAATTTGAAGGGATATTTGATTTAAATGTGTTTAAAATATGTTTCGAGTAGCTTTCAAAGCAATGTTCATCTAGATCTGGTTCGTGCCACATCTTTCTGAAATAGTTGATTTGATCTTCCACATTAAACGGCTCCAAAAACATAGATCTTACATTAAATTTACTCTCTAATAATACTTGCATGTGTTTTCTGGCGCTGATGATGATTCGAATGCTCTTTTTCAACTTGAGTTGTTCCAGCATCTCAATCACCTTGTCAGTGTACTTGGAGTGGATCTCGTCGAAGCCATCCATCACTATAAGAATGGAATAGTCTCTGTCATCCCTTTCATGTGGGGCATTTTTAATGAGATCGCAATTTCGCTCTGAAAGGATCACTTTGAGCACATTATGCACCTGCAAATCTGAACTGTGTTCTACTTTTTCGAGCTCCATCACCAACTCGCTTAAATACACTAACAGTACATTAACGACATTTTGCTTCTGCACTTCAAAGGCTACAAACTGAAGCAAGCTAGTCTTCCCCATTCCGGGGTCTGCCAGAAGTACGATGATCTGATGGTCTTCAAATGTTTGCCCAAGCTCTTCAACAAACTGAGTGTCACTCATCTGTCGTGAAAGTTCTTCAATTTTGTCTTCCATACCTGGTTGGTTGTCTTTATTAAGGAGATTTTCAGCCAGACGCTGGTTCATCTCCGCCTCTTCCATACCTGTTTTCTCAACTTCAATGACATTTTCGTCATTGGTCGGTTTACTATATTTGTATATAATACGGCGATTGATGTAATATTTTTGCAATTGTTTTGCTTCCTTACCTTCAAGTTTATCGTTATCATTCTGAATTTCACTAAGACAGTTTAGTACATCACTTTTTTTCAACATTGCCTTCATTTTATTCTTTTTAGGTTTATTGAGTTGGTCAAATTTTAATATCAGATCTCTAAATATCAGATCGATTTCTCTCAATTTTCTGAGAATTTCTGGACAGATCCACGATTTACACCACGTCCACAGCTCGCTTTCAATAATTGGATACAAATCATTTGGTTGACTCACCAATAGATAAAAGTCGTTGAAGAATGCCACAATTTCCTCCTCACTAAAATAACGTGGCAAATGTTTCACCCTTGAGTTTCTTAGTAAAAAGTTATTCACTGTTATTGTCTTCTTCATATCAAGGTTATCTTTTTCCAGAACTTTAAACAACTTGGCAACATTGATTTGTTCGCTTTCCGAGTTGAAGCTATCTAAAAAACTGCATTGCTTCTTTTTTATTGTTAAAACGTCTTTCAGAGGAGTACTATAGGTTTCTAAAATGTTACTGACGGTTCCATTGTTGAAAAGCTCTTTGATTGCCTTTTTAAGATTTTCGAAATCTTTGTTGATAAAATTGCTCAACTCCTTAATAGCTTTTTCGGTTGGATCCAGTTTCAGGTGTCGGGCCTTGGATCCAGGAAATCGTAGGATTTCATCTACTTCTACCTCAATAGGTGTCACCCAATCAACATCGGAGATGTTTAAATCCTTATTAGTAAATATATAGAACTGCTTTTTGTATTGGTCTTTCTTAAAGTTTTCAACAACTTTCAAATAGGATTCAAGGTACTTGTAAATACTGAAGTCTCCGTTGTGTTGATCTTTTCCCTCGGTCGGAAATAGTGCATTTAAATCGATAACATTTACCTTGCCATCTTTGGTAACGGCGTGCTTCACCTGGATGAAGTGTAAAACCTCACGTTCATCGTCAATGATCACTACGTCATCGTACTTGTCGGCTTGTGACACTTCATATGCCAATCTGACATTGAAACTGTCTCTCCGCATCCGTAGAAAAAAGGTGACTGCAACTTGTTTTTGGAATACTTTGCCGTGGTAACCTGATTGGATTTTTCCTTCATATGTTCCGTCTTGTAATAGGTTCGGCATTTTGAATCAACTGGGGAATAGAAGAGAAATGACGCATTAGCGAAAGTGACAAAGGTGCTACAGTACATCTTTTCACTTCAACAACAGTCCTGTAATGGAGCCGCCAAATGACTTCTCCGATTTGCATTAAAAGTGTTAAAACCTAAGTAGGGTTAACTACCCCATTTTCGGCCTATTAAGCACAACCCGCACTTAGTCTTTCTTAATCTAGCGCAGTTTAGCACCAAACGGAATGTTATTATTACTGATGGCTTCCAAATTTATTTACCTTTCTGTACGCACCGTAAGATTTGATAAAGAGGAACCAATCGTTGAGATATTGTCAAAAGTCTAATACTGCTTCTTGACGCCAAACTCGGCCTACGGATTCTAAACTCGTTCTAACGCATTGAAACGCCATTGAAACGCAAATAAATTCACTTCGGCCTATCGGATGAAGATAGAAATTTAATCGGTCGGAGCTCTTCTTTTGTTTTTGGGAATAATCTGTGCAAACCTTCATATCACGCCTTCTGATTGACTTCGTTTGGTAGCTTATTAACTAAAGTATCGTACCAAACTCATAATTGACTTGTTAACTCAGAAATCATTGAATTATTTTGTGTTGTCTGCACGATAGGCCCGAAATGGGCGATTAGGCCGAAGTAGTTCTCTACCCTGTCTCAAAATCATTTTGCTGATTTTTAATTTTTTTTTATTCATTCATTCCTTTTTTCATATAATTTATACTTATAAAATAAGGTTTAAGGCATTTTAAATATTTTTTTATAAGCATTAATGCGTACCAAAATTAAAAATAAATTCATGTTTTTTCACTCTAAAAGACTCCATAGTTTTGAAAATTGAAAAAGCTTGCCTTTCTTAAAACCTTTTTTATTTTATTTTTTTATAAACCGGGCAAGGAAATTTTGAGGTTACACTTCCATTACATTTTTACTTAAAATAAAATATAAACATTTTTTGGGAACAGAAAGACATTATTTTCTTCTGCAACTTTGTATCAGACGTCATTTCGATCAGGAATGCCGTTTCCGCGTTACAGCTTTTAGAATAAATTAATGAATGCCATTTTGAAAGTTTTACATGAACAATACCAAAATAATACCACACAGGTATTCTTTTGATATCCAAATATCACTTTTAGTTACTGACAAAGTATTTTGCATGCAGTTTTTTCGTAGTACTCTTTGGTCCTGGTCCTGTCGAAGATGAACCTCAATCTAGAAAGGATCAGCATGTGGAATAGCGCTTCTTTTTCACTCTTTATCATTCATATGTAACCACATTGTTGACATCACTTTCACTGCTCGCGTAAAAACTGATGAGGATGAAAGAGATAGTGTTTTCATCATGTTTAAATCACGAGCCAAGTAGATCATCTCACGACCGCACATATAACGAACTGTAAAGTCAAGTGATAGCACGCCCAACAATGCATTAGCTCCTAAATAACATTGACAGATTAAAAAAAAATAAAACAGCAAAAAAGGTTATCTTCCATTTAATTCCACTTAATTAATTTTGGTATCCATGACAGATACGTATTTCGACTACAATGTGCAGTCTTCATCAGTGTCATTCCCACTAAAGAATTTATCAAAATCTAACCCCCTTAAGTACTCCCTTTTTTGCTGTTTTATTTAGCATTCCATTGACAGATTCTTTTAGTAGATTTTTTCTTTGCACCCCCATGGACATGTATGGATTCTTCCAGCTATTTCCAACACATAGTTCGATAAAAGAAGCTATTATCTAGCATCTTATAGGGAAAATTCGGCAAGAAACGGATTTGTAGCCAAATTATTAATGAAAGAGAAAGTGGAAGAGGTGGATCGATCAATGTTACTTAGGACCTAATGCATTGTTCGGCTTGATAGTTTTTCGAAGGGCCTATACGGTAAATGAATATGACTCATATTTGAATCCCGATCACTCAAATTCGCAAAAAAGTAAGTCACTCATAGAATGAGTAAATGTTTTCTCAAATATGATTAAACGTCACTCATATATGATTAAATGTCACTCAATCTCTACGAGTAAATTTTTGCGAGTTTGACTGCACGGTACTCAAATATGAGTTAGTCTCATTTGCCGTGAAGTTTGTTTTGACGGGAGGATTGATTGCACGCTATTTTTAAACAACCCACATTTTAGTAGGATCTACTCATATCCGTCAAAAGTAGGGCTACCGAAAATTGAGCAAACTGACAAGATGACAAATGAATAAAATCGGTTGGATTCGGGTTGATGTTTTCTATTCGTCATCTTGTTAGTCTAAACTTTGTTTACTCAATTTCGTGTACCCTACTTTTGACAAATATGAGTAGATCCTTCTCAAATTTGGGTTGTTTAGAAATAGCGTGACCCCTCCTTTCACGCAAATATTAACATTTTGCCTGGGACTTTCCAGTGGAGTGAAAAGATAAGAAATTATCCACTTTGTTTTACGAAATTCGACATTTGTTTATGAGGGTTTCCTATAGGAGTGAACAGTTGCACAGTCGTCATCAACGCGTATGGTTTCACAAATACCAAATCAAAGTTATCAAATAAAGTACGTAGGTCATAATTGAAAACAAGCATCAAAATTACGTCCCTAATGTTCGGTACATAGATATAAAGCGCTGAAAGCGTTAAATCTTTTAAATTAGCAGGAAGAGATGTGAGATATAAGTCCTTTCAATTCATGAAATTATCAAGTTTTTTTTTATGACCACAGCTCTGTAGGTTTTTGTTAGTCCAATAAAACGGCGCCTAGAAATCAAAAATTAGGTGAATTTCACTGAGTCCGGATCTATTTGCTTTTTGCTGTGGAAGTGTTACTACTACCTAAAGCTACAACAAATTTAAACAGCACTTTTCAGTGCTCAACCTGTAAAAATTTTCTACCTTGTTCAACACTTATTCCTCTTCGATCCTTGTTTGGACCCTACCCGAGGTAATCCTTCTTGGATATCGATTTGGAAAATTCCTCTTCGATCCTTCAGATTCTTATAGTAATCTGCTTGGAAGTCGATTTGGATAAAAAATAACTGCCACCGGCGCCTAAACGCAAAAGAAAGTGGCAAACTTTTGATCCCCCTTCTGATGAAATTAATTTGAGTAATCAATTTGATTTGCTCACGGATGATGAGAATGATCCATCATCCAAGAAAAATTCCAGTAAACTTTCCCGGCTTAATGCCAAGAAGGAAAAGATTCCCCCTATTTGCTCTTCGCATGGAACTTTTGAACTTCGTGAAAGTTAAGTTTTCACTACAAATTGGACGTCGGGGTGAATGCCGTGTATTGGCTGAAACCTTGGACGGCTTTAAATGTCTCAAGTATCTTACTGAGAAGCAGCACAAATTTTTTACTTACGACATCAAAACTGAACGTGTGTTCAAGGTTGTCATGAAAGGACTGCCCAGTGGTGAATCCCTGGATCAGATCAAAGATGAACTGGCAAAATTACTTGGAGTTGTGCCACTCCAAGTAATCAAAATGAAAATGAAATCCCGTCCTGGCGATTCGCGCAACGGGATTTCTAATGATTTTTATTTAGTTCACTTCAAGTCTAGTGAACTAAACAACCTTAAGGCCTTAGAAAAAGCTAGCCTTATGCTCCATGTCCTAGTGAAGTGGGAACACTTCAGGAAGACTGGAGGAAATTTCCAAAACCTCACCCAGTGCCGTAAGTGCCAGGAATGGGGACACGGAACTAAAAATTGCTACATGTCATCTAAATGCATGAATTGTGGTGATTCCTCTCCCGCGAAAGACGACTGTCCTGTGAAGGAAGATCCTAAGAAATTTAAATGTTCAAATTGTGATGAAAACCACAAATCTAATTTTTGGGAATGTAAGACTCGCAAAGCGATTCTTCAATCTCGTTCCAAGCGACAGGTAGGAAACGCTCCACGTTTCCGACCAGGTACAAATTCCTCTGCTGTTAACAACGGTCAGCGAGGAACAAATTCTACATTCGTACCCGTAGGTACAAATATCACCCCTGCTTCAAATTTTTCCTCTGTACCTACTCCCCTCGCTGCTAACAATGTTCAACGACTTAATGGAGCTACCTATGCTGCTAATGCAGCGGGTAGAAGTCAAAATACTCACCAACGTAATTCTAACGGAAATTTTGACTGAGGAAGCATGCTCCTAAAATGGAATTTTTACAGAAATCATTAATTGCCATGATTTCTGATATGCTTAAATCTAACTCCATGTTTGATGCCATTCAAACTGGAGTAAAATTTGCGAGCAATATTGTCATGACTTTGAAATGCAGTAATGGATTTTGTATCATTAAATATTATAAATTGGAATGCTCGATCTCTTAAAGATAATGAAGACGAGCTATTTAACTTTTTGAGAGTTCATAACGTGCATATTGCCGTTATAACTGAAACGTTCCTTAAACCTGACCATAAGGTTAAGAAGGACGCAAATTATTTCATTTATAGAAATGATCGTCTTGATGGACCCTGTGGTGGCGTTGCCTTCATTGTTCATAGACGAATAAAACATAAAATTCTTTCGTCATTTGAAACCAAAGTTTTGAAACTTTGGGTGTTTCTGTTGAAACAAAATTTGGACAACTTACGTTTATAACTGCCTATTTGCCATTCCAATGCGTAGGCCAGCAAAAGAATTTTCTCAAGGGTGACCTTGAGAAACTTACCCGTCATAGGTCTGAATTCTTCATTATTGGTGACTTTAATGCAAAACATCGCTCATGGAATAATTCTCAAAGTAATTACAATGGTAATATTCTGTTTGATGATTGTTCTGCAGGTTATTATACTATTCAATATCCAAACAGCCCAACAAGCTATTCTTCTGCAAGAAATCCCTCAACTATTGATTTGGTCTTAACTGATTTATGTCAACTTTGTAGCCAATTGGTTACCCATGCTGACTTCGGTTCTGATCACCTTCCAGTAACTTTTGAAATATCCCAAGAAAT